CTCACCCTAAAATACTCGAAAAACATAATTGCACACAAAAAAGTCGTAGTTTTCGGAAAAACCACTCTCTATTTATATTTTTTGTACGCTTTTTTGAAAAAAATTCAATATTCCGACTCCATTATCTCCGACATTATTGCATATGCGATTCTGCTACCAGAGACTTTTTTTCTCGGTTTTGCATCATCTACAACTTTGCTGTTGACAACTTTTTGCTAAACCCTAAACTTTTCGAGTTATTTCCAAAAAACTAATTTATATTACATTCTCATCACATGAGAAAGTATTAGTTTTGGTCGAAAATTGACTTTTGACAACTTTATGAAATCTTTACGTTTTGAGGTCCCCTGAACCCGAAAAACATGGTCCGGCGAGTCCGTCTGTCTGTGTGTCTGTCTGTCTGTCTGTCTGTCTGTCTGTCTGTCTGTCTGTCTGTCTGTCTGTCTGTCTGTCTGTCTGTCTGTCTGTCTGTCTGTCTGTCTGTCTGTCTGTCTGTCTGTCTGTCTGTCTGTCTGTCTGTATGTATGTATGTATGTCCGTCTGTAGACCAAAATGTTGTTGACACAATAACTTTTAAAAATCTTATCTGATCGTTTTTAAATTTAACACACTTAAAGTTGGTGTAAAAATGAAGGTTAAGTTCGTTAACGAGCCATTTTCGTTGAAAACTACAAAAACTACGGTAGTTTCAAAATTTTGAAAACTCAATTTTTTCAAATTTTAGAATTTTTAACTTTATATTATTTTAGATTAGGAAAATACAAACAACTTTTCTCTACAACATTTTTTCATGAAAACTCAATTTTCGAAGTTATAGTCTCTTAAATGGTCAAAAAAACTAAAAAAATCTTAAAATAACACTGAAAATCGAATTTTTTGAAAGGAATAAAAGTCAGTTAACTGATTTTGACATATTCTCACCCTAAAATACTCGAAAAACATAATTGCACACAAAAAAGTCGTAGTTTTCGGAAAAACCACTCTCTATTTATATTTTTTGTGCGCTTTTTTGAAAAAAATTCAATATTCCGACTCCATTATCTCCGACATTATTGCATATGCGATTTTGCTACTAGAGACTTTTTTTCTCGGTTTTGCATCATCTACAACTTTGCTGTTGACAACTTTTTGCTAAACCCTAAACTTTTCGAGTTATTTCCAAAAAACTAATTTTTATTACATTCTCATCACATGAGAAAGTATTAGTTTTGGTCGAAAATTGACTTTTGACAATTTTATGAAATCTTTACGTTTTGAGGTCCCCTGAACCCGAAAAACATGGTCCCGCGAGTCCGTCTGTCTGTGTGTCTGTCTGTCTGTCTGTCTGTATGTATGTATGTCCGTCTGTAGACCAAAATGTTGTTGACACAATAACTTTTAAAAATCTTATCTGATCGTTTTTAAATTTAACACACTTAAAGTTGGTGTAAAAATGAAGGTTAAGTTCGTTAACGAGCCATTTTCGTTGAAAACTACAAAAACTACGGTAGTTTCAAAATTTTAAAAACTCAATTTTTTCAAATTTCAGAATTTTTAACTTTATATTATTTTAGATTAGGATAATACAAACAACTTTTCTTTTCAACATTTTTTCATGAAAACTCAATTTTCGAAGTTATAGTCTCTTAAATGGTCAAAAAAACTAAAAAAATCTTAAAATAACACTGAAAATCGAATTTTTTGAAAGGAATAAGAGTCAGTTAACTGATTTTGACATATTCTCACCCTAAAATACTCGAAAAACATAATTGCACACAAAAAAGTCGTAGTTTTCGGAAAAACCACTCTCTATTTATATTTTTTGTGCGCTTTTTTGAAAAAAATTCAATATTCCGACTCCATTATCTTCGACATTATTGCATATGCGATTTTGCTACCAGAGACTTTTTTTCTCGGTTTTGCATCATCTACAACTTTGCTGTTGACAACTTTTTGCTAAACCCTAAACTTTTCGAGTTATTTCCAAAAAACTAATTTTTATTACATTCTCATCACATGAGAAAGTATTAGTTTTGGTCGAAAATTGACTTTTGACAATTTTATGAAATCTTTACGTTTTGAGGTCCCCTGAACCCGAAAAACATGGTCCGGCGAGTTCGTCTGTCTGTGTGTCTGTCTGTTTCTGTCTGTCTGTCTGTATGTATGTATGTCCGTCTGTAGACCAAAATGTTGTTGACACAATAACTTTTAAAAATCTTATCTGATCGTTTTTAAATTTAACACACTTAAAGTTGGTGTAAAAATGAAGGTTAAGTTCGTTAACGAGCCATTTTCGTTTAAAACTACAAAAACTACGGTAGTTTCAAAATTTTGAAAACTCAATTTTTTCAAATTTTAGAATTTTTAACTTTATATTATTTTAGATTAGGATAATACAAACAACTTTTCTTTTCAACATTTTTTCATGAAAACTCAATTTTCGAAGTTATAGTCTCTTAAATGGTCAAAAAAACTAAAAAAATCTTAAAATAACACTGAAAATCGAATTTTTTGAAAGGAATAAGAGTCAGTTAACTGATTTTGACATATTCTCACCCTAAAATACTCGAAAAACATAATTGCACACAAAAAAGTCGTAGTTTTCGGAAAAACCACTCTCTATTTATATTTTTTGTGCGCTTTTTTGAAAAAAATTCAATATTCCGACTCCATTATCTTCGACATTATTGCATATGCGATTTTGCTACCAGAGACTTTTTTTCTCGGTTTTGCATCATCTACAACTTTGCTGTTGACAACTTTTTGCTAAACCCTAAACTTTTCGAGTTATTTCCAAAAAACTAATTTTTATTACATTCTCATCACATGAGAAAGTATTAGTTTTGGTCGAAAATTGACTTTTGACAATTTTATGAAATCTTTACGTTTTGAGGTCCCCTGAACCCGAAAAACATGGTCCGGCGAGTCCGTCTGTCTGTGTGTCTGTCTGTCTGTCTGTCTGTCTGTCTGTCTGTCTGTCTGTCTGTCTGTCTGTCTGTCTGTCTGTCTGTCTGTATGTATGTCCGTCTGTAGACCAAAATGTTGTTGACACAATAACTTTTAAAAATCTTATCTGATCGTTTTTAAATTTAACACACTTAAAGTTGGTGTAAAAATGAAGGTTAAGTTCGTTAACGAGCCATTTTCGTTTAAAACTACAAAAACTACGGTAGTTTCAAAATTTTGAAAACTCAATTTTTTCAAATTTCAGAATTTTTAACTTTATATTATTTTAGATTAGGAAAATACAAACAACTTTTCTTACAACATTTTTTTTAAAAAACTTTTTTTTTTTTTTAAGTTTTTGGGCCCAACCAGTTCTACTGTGTTAAAAAAATTTATTGTTTTTTAAAATCTTAAAACTTTTATAAATATCTGTTGTTTAGAATATATAAAGTAAAACTTTTAACTGTTTTTTTAAATTTGAAATTTTTTGTTTGCATTAGAACAGAATACTACATCATTTAGAAAAATAATTAATAACTTAAAATGCGTTTACAGTAAATTAATGAAATTCACACTGACTACACATAGTAGTTCACTCTTTCAAATGAAAATATTTTCATGATTGTAAATTTAAAAATTTCATATTTTTAATAATAATTTTATAAACAATTTGAATTTTTTATATGTTTTACCCCTCGAATTGTATTGAATCTCATAAGAAGTATACTATGTAGTTATTATTATTTTATTATTTTTCCTATCTAAAGCGCCTAAAAACTAGTGTTATTTTTAAATTTTGCAAATAATTAAGATGTTCATAAAAACATAAAGATATTTTATGATTTAATCAATTTGAGCAGCAGTTTATACAAATAATTGTTATTGACAAATGAAGGGCTGGCTGCAATAAGGGGACGAACGCGTGGTTGACAGGAATAATACTAGTCAAGTAGCAGTGAGCGGCTTAAGGCTTGTCACTGTTACCCGACTTGTATTTTTAAAATATTGTAGCTTCTTCAACAACCCATATTTCTGCGAAAATATTTAGTAGTTAAAATAATTTCTCATTTTCGATCAGCAAGAACAAAAATTTGCATTTGAGTTCCTTAATCTTGCAATTATCAGCAAGCAAAAATATCTGATGAGAATGTAATCCTTAAAGTCGTAGTAACTTTAAGAAAAAATAATTCCTTGAAACATATAATAGAAAAAAGGAAAAGAACGCAAATAATGCACAACGGTCGTGAATGACTGCGAGCGAAGCGAGCTATTTGCTCGCGAAGCGCGCAACAATCCTCGGAGCGCGAAGCGCGACGACCAAAATTCGCGCGCCCCGAGGCGCGCTGAAACTTGCGAGCGGAGCGAGCCTCCCGCGCGAAGCGCGTATGAGAATGTGTCCGTCCGAAGGGCGGGCAGATTTTTTGTAATAATATTATCACTAAAGAAATTTGAATTATTAAAAATTTGAACTAAGTAGATAATATATAAAGTAAAAAAAAATAAAATTATATTTTCTTAGAAAATAAATTTAAAAAAACGGTATTTTGCATTAATATCAATTCGTTTTTCTTTAATAATGTATAAGTAACTATTTCTATATTTTAAAATGTTAATTTATTGTTACTAATATTTATATAGATTGAATTTAAAAAAGTTTCAAATTAAAATTTTAAAAAAGTAGAAAATTCTAAAAAAAATTTATTACGAATTTTGTATAACTTATTTTTTGAAATATTTTAGTTAAAATTTTTAGAAAAAAATTTAATTAAAATCTTAAAAATAATTTTTAATAAGTTGCAGTAGCAATTCTTATAAATTATTAAATTTTAATACCCGAGGAAAAATAGTAGATAATAATTAAATATTTATTAAAAAAATTTATTTATGTTCTAAATGATTTTAGAATTAAAGATATTCAAAATATATATTACAAATATTTTTTGATATTTCAATTATTTTTTGGAGTAAAGTAAAATAATTTTAAGGTTTTAAATAAAGTCAAAGTTTTATTAAAAGTTGTGTTACACTCTAGACTCTTTTTTTTTTAATTAATTGAATTAATTTATTATAGCAACTTATTTTGTTTTTATCAGAAACGCGTTTCCAGCAATCTCTGATTGCTAGAAAATAATTATTTTGGTTTTCAACCATTTCGTTTCCGGAGTTTGAGGGTTCTTCTATTTCTCCCAGATCATCATCGCTACTGCTGTTAACTACTGTTCGTTTGTCGTCTGAAAAAAATACAATATAAATAGATAAATATAGTTATCTATAAATATAATATTACTTAAAACTTATTTCAAATACCTTGTTTAGAAAGAATACCTTCTTTTCTTTTCTTTATTTATACCTTCTGTATCGTCATCAACTTCGACAATGTCTGCCTCAGGTTCACGCCTCCTTTTTGGCAGTCGAAAATTACTGTCAGTTCTGTGCAGAAAAATACATAATTAAAAGAAGTAATTTATAAAAGAGTTAAAAATCAACATAAAAGTTACATAGAAATTTTTATATATTTATTTATAACATTATTATACGGACAGTGCCCATTCGTACATAAAGTACTAAAATATTAGGTATAATGAAAATAAATTTATGAATATGTCCAAAAATCACAATCGAAAATTTTGCTCATACAATCCTTCCTCTATGAGGAAGCAAAATAAATCGAATAATTGATAAATAATTGAAATGTAATGTATTCATGTTTTTTACTTGCGCAAATTAATAATTAAAATTTTTATTAGTTAATTTAAAAAAATCCACTTAAAATTTTTTAATAAAATTTAATTTTTGCAAAGTTTTTTTGAAATTCCTCAAAATTAAGATTTTTTAAATTTTGCAATTCTATTGTTTCAAGATAATTGGATTTTTATAAACAAATAATTAAAAATTTTTTGAAATAATAGAAATTTATTTACATTCTATTAAAAGTAATTATTAAATGTTTTTAAAGAATTTTATTTAAAATTTGCGAAAAAAATAAAAAAAAGTTAATCACCGGCGTAACTATAATTTTATTTTTAAAATAAAAAGTCTTTTTTAAAGTTTTAAATAAATTTTTCGCCTCTAAAAGCTATATTATTAGTCAATAATTATAATTATTGAACTTCTCTTAAATTTTTATAATTTTAAATTTTTGAATGTTCAAATAATAGATATTTATTTATTTCTTGAATAAATTATAATTTTATTACTTATTAAGTAGGTACATATTTAATTATAACTGCTTATTATTTTCAAAAATTTTAATAAAACTCTTAACAAGAATTCAATTATTTTCATAAGTAATAACATTCTTTGGAAGGATTTAATTGCTTTTGTAAATAGTAAAATTCTTTGCAGAAATTTAATTAGTATCAATAAATTTTAATTAAATTAAATTAATCAAATTTTCAATTATAATTATAAACAGACAAGATTATTTTAAAAAATTGAAAAATTATTTGTTTAATTCAATTATTTTCCAAATTCTTAATTAAAATTATTTTAAAAAAATTTAAAGAAACTTGTCAGAAAAATTTAATTATTCATAAAAAACTCTAATAAAAATTTTTGAATGAAAATAGTAGACACTCTGCAATAGAAAAGTAAAATAATATTTTACATTTAGCTTCTATTTTTATTTTTCATTAGCATCGTTATAATTTTATTAAAATTTTGGAATTTATAAGTTATTAAAAATTTTTGATATTAATTTTTTTAAAAAATGGAAATTTTATAGTTTCACAAAAAATTTTTTTTTTTGAAAAATTGTCTTTAAATAGTAACGTTTAAAGCTGCTAACTATTTTATGTAAAATTTGCATTTGTTCTAAAAGGCTAAGTTTAATTTCTCAAATATTTTGAAAATTATAATAGAAAAATATAATTTAAATTAGTGAAAAAAAATTTCTGACTTACTCGCGATTTAAAGGAAAAGTAACTAAGAAGCCCATCAAATTGAAATATTTCCAGGAAGATTCGTAGTTTGTGGCTCCGGATCCTGAGTACATATATTGCCTTACTTTTCGACGTTCTGACTCGTATTGACCCTTTAAATTCCTCCATGCATTTGTCACTTCCTCTACTGTAAAGAAAATAGTAAATAAATTAAATTTTCAAATCTAAATTGTTATAGTTTACTCTTCATTGAATAAATAAATTAATATTTACCACTAGTTTGCTGATTCGTTATCATAAATAGTTCCGTTGCGATTTCTTCCCACACTTCTTTCTTTTTACTCACATTTTTATAATCAGGAGAAGCCTTATCGTAAATAATACGATGTTTTTCTATAATATTAATTAAAATTTCAATTGCGTCTACCTCTGCCATTTTTGAATAAATGTTTTAACAAATAAAAGACGTTGCTAAGTAACGTAAATTTTTTTTTCGAAAAAGTACATATATATATAATTAGAAATTGTTGGAGAATTATTAATTTATTATAGTTTATTAACTTTCTAATTTTTCTTTAAATTGGATGCGGCAACTGGAATTTTTAATTTTGTCAAAATTGATACCAATATTTTTTCGATCCTAACCATATCTTTGCGAACAGGTGATTTTACAAACAAATTTGTGTACATTTATTCTATATACATAGAATTTCTAACAAATGAAAATTTAGAATTGATAAATTATTCAATTTTTTTAAATTCTATCCTGCTCCATATTCTTGTTCTTGGGTAATTGTAACTATAAATATCATAAATTGAAAGAGATATTTTAATACATATTTTTTTATTGTCAAAAACTTATTTGTGAACTTATAATTAACAATAATATTAGAAAGTCATTAAACTTAAAATAAGATTAGAATCAAATATTTATGAAAATATTTTAAAATGTAAGTCATTTTTTATATTGATATTCTTCTAACACTTTTAACATATCTGAGAACAATTCTTCCTGCTCCTCATCTGTCAGTGTTATTCATTCTTTTCTGATTAAATCTAAAAATCCATCTTTCAAATTCATATGACGAATCGGCAATGTCGTAATCCGGTTTTTTATTTCTTTGGTTTTTAAATTCATTAATTTTGTTGCTTTTTTATTTAAATTTCGAAAATCTTGACATGCAGTAATAATTTCTTCTTCCACTTTTCTTTTTTCCTGTTTATTCTTATCATTTTTTTTTAATGCGAATTTGTCCAGTTTTGGAACTTTTAAACTTCTAGGCATTGATGGATTAATTTGTTGTGAAACAATGTTTTTCTTCGGTTTATTTTTGCGAAAGGTCGGTGTTGGTGAAACACGACTTAAACTGCAGGGTTGTGCTTGTTGATTGTTTGGCAAAACAAACGCATTAAAACCTTGCGAATTATCTCTCGAGCAAAGCATCGGTCTAGGTCGTTGGGCAATTACAGGGTCCTCGCGTTCTACATTTCTTTCAACAATTTTTATAGTTTGATTCTTGTTTTGTGGATGAGAATTATAACAATGGTCCATATCTTCTCCAACTATAAAATTTTCAACGTCAGAAATATCACCAGATTCCTCGCTCAAGTTTATTTCCATTGTAGTTGCTTCATTTTTGAATAGTGATTGATTTACTATAGAATTTCTGTAAATAAAATTTTTTCAAGTATAATTTTTGTAAATAAGATTAAATAGTCACATTTAGCATATTAATTAAACTAAAGATATGTTAAAACAACTAGTAAGATACATAACTAATTTAGAAGAAATACGCGGTAAATTTATTAAATATTTTTATACTATTTTAATTTAGTTAATTTATAAATTAAAAGAAAAAATTAGTTTTATTAATATTTTTAAAGAGATATAGAGAAAAAATTAAAAATATTCCTCGTGCATTTCATTGTTATGAAAAAGGTAAGTATCGAATTCCAATTTTATCCGGATTAATTCGAACCAGACCTAATATTTCCTGATGTACAATAATTAAATTATGAATTTTACTATTATAGTGAAAAATGTTATTTATTAATAATATGTATATTTCAAACAATAATAAATCGACTTATTTATATCAAAAACGATATTTTTATAAAATGTTAATGTAAAAACTTGTTTTTGTTTGCAGTGAAAAAATTCGTATAAAATTTTCAAATAATTTTTTTAGATAATTAATTTTTAATTTTAAATGATTCACTTATTATAAAACTTTGCAGTAAATACTAAATTTAAATTAATAATTAAAATTTTTTTTAATATGAAATTAAGCAAAAAAATTGGATTTTAATGTCGCAGTTATTAGGATAACTATTAGACATTTTTTTAACTATAATATTAATTTAAAAATTAGTACATTAAAATAAGAAATTTTAAAATACAATTTGTTAAAATTATTTTTGTTCAATATTTGAATTCAAAGAGATTCTATTTTTTCTTGTTTGATTTATTCCGTAAAGCTCATAAGAAATAAGTCGTTAAATTTATTAAAACATTAAAACAATTAATTATTATTATTGAGATTATTTGTAGTACCTCAGAGAAGTTGAAGGACTGCGTGGCAACACAGAACTGTTTTTAAGCTGATCGAAACCTGAAAATTCTCTCCATCTATAAGATGTGGAAGCAGTGTTATCTTGAAACGGAGGACTACACGATGATACTATTTCTCTTTGAGGAAGTAAAGAAGATAAACTTTTACTGTGTTCTTTAGAACTCGATGCAGCATTATTAATATCATGAGATGAAGTGTTAGGAGTAACCATGAATTTCCTTCCAAGAGTTGAAGAGAAGTCCTCCAAAGCTGAAGTGGAAGTTGAATCTGTGTTATCAATTTCCTGAAATTGAGGAGCGTACGACGGTATGGAATTTGTGTTGCGATCGTTTGATATTAATGCTCCATTATTGATATCCTTAGAGTTGTTGTTAATCATATCACGTGGAACTATAAATTTCCTTCCAAGCGTTAAAGGCAAGTCCTTCCAAGTTGAGCCTAAAGTCGAAGCTGAGTTGAGATCCCGTGAAGTCAATGTTACATTACTTGCATTTTGAGAATTAGGATTATGTGTAGGAACGAAATTTCTTCCAAGAGTTGAAGATAAATCCTTCAAAGATGAACTGGATGTCGAATCTGTGTTATGAATCTCCTTAAATGGAGGAGCGTACGATAGTATGGAATCTGATTCAAGATTTCGGTTTTCCTGAGAAATTGACGCTTTATTTATATTCTGTGATAAAGGACTGTGCGTAAAATCGAAATTCCTGCCAAGAGTTGAACGTTCTCTATGTTCTGGAGTATTTAAAGTTGCATAATTATCCTGATGAGTAACACTGTGCATCAATTCAAATGGAGTATTAATACGTTTAATAGATCCACTATTATTCGTTCCAAGATTTCTGCAAATAAAATTTAATATAAATTTTGTGCTAAAATGAAAAAAAAATGCTTTATAATAAATAATTATAGGACGTTTTATATATTTTAAATTATAAAAATAACGTTCTTAGGAATCAATATAATATATATATATTTGATAAGTTTGGCTACCAAATAACGATTTTTGAAAATGCAATAATGAACTTGCCCTCTATAATTCTCAAAAGATGGTCTGAAAGTCTTTTGTGATTCTGCGATGTTATTATTGCCTTGAGAATTATTTACACCATCTTGAGGTTTATGTTTGATAAACTCGCTTAAAAATAGCATTTCATTATAAAACAACCAATTCATGTTCCCATTTTTATGGTGCCTTGTAAAATTTTGACGTAGTGCTCTCCATCGTTGAATTGGATCTATAAACAATTCAAAAATATTAATTTCTTGATTCATCTGGCTCACAGTAGTTCTGTATTAAAATAATTTTAAAGCATATAAGCATGGTTTAAAATATATAACAAAATTGAATATTTATGTTAATAAATTTAAGAAATAGAATGATTTTTTCCAGCATTAAAACAATTGCTTCTTAGCTTTACCTATTATACTAAATCCATTTTTGGCCAAAAATTCACTGACTTTTTGCCACGCACTTTCTTTCCTTTGCTTGTGAAATAAACCACTATTGGATGAATTGTCAAATAAACATGGAAAAGATTTAACTGCATATATGAGAGCTCGATCTGAGTCATCATTTCTATTCATAATTATTCTTTTTGAAGCAAAAATAATTTTCGACTCTCTCAATTGCCTTGCCCGACGCAACGGCCAAACTTCTATTTTACCAAAAAATGCGAATGAAAAATAAACAAAAAACTTTTGTTGCTAAGAAACTGAATGGACTATTATTAACCAAAACAAATGAATATTTCCTACAAACCATATTTTTAATTTTTGTGAAGTAAAAAAAAGTAAAGTAAAGACTAAAATTAATAATTATTTTTATTATTAAGTTAGAGCTGTGCAAAATAATACGAACCGAACTGTTCAAATTTTTTTGCCTAGTTCCAATGTCGAATATTCGACATTCGAGCTACTACAAAATTCGAACCGAACCGAGTTTTGTTCGATTTTGGAATGCTAAAATGTCGAATTTCTAAATTCGACATTTCGTCGCCCAAAAACCGAACCAAACTCGGTTTGAATCGAATTTTGCACAGCACTATTTAAAGTGCATGGAAAATTCTATTTCCTAAACTTATTTTTTTCTTATTACTAATTAATAATTTTTTCTGGCTATAAACTTTCTTCATTTCGATTGAAAATAATATATAGAAGCTTTATTTTCTGCATTTAGAAAAGAGTTAAAACATTTTTACAAAGGCAGATTAATGTTGTCTAAGTTTCGTAAATTATTTAAAGAAATAAAATTTTTAAAATATTTTATAACTCTCTAAAATCAAAATTATTTGACTTTTTTTAAATTTAAAAATAGGGTTGACACAGGTCAGGGAAAGCAAGGAATTTAGGGAAAAGTTAATAATGAAATAATATTCAATTATTATCTAAAATTTTAAATGAAATTCATTTTTTGATCTATTTTTATTAGAATTTAATTATTTAAATACAAAAATAAATAATTTAATGAATTAAAGAAAATGAATTTATCATTCGACAGTTAAATATTAAAGGTTAAAGAAGCTATCAATTATGAATTATCTTATCGAGATTTCAGTAAAAATTTTATTATTTATGAAAATAAAAAAATTTAATTATGACTAAGAAATTTGTAAAAGAAAATATTCAAAAAACATTGAAATGTGGAACATTTTTG